GAAAGGCCTACCTAGATTTAACTGTATATCCTAATCTTGGGGGAAGACTATTTGGAAACTCCCCAAAGGAAAACAAAAATATTTGCATGTTGTAAATAACAGCATCTTGTGGTGTAAAATAACATATACACTGAAGATAAATCACAGTCAATTAAAAAAAAAACAATAAAAATTAAATGTTATTAAGCTATATATTTATCTCTATTTTGCATTATTGTTTCCTCCGGTAAAGGCATGTAGTTAAGTAATATGCACTAAATATCTTGAAATTACGTTGAATCTGGCTGTTCAAATGGTATGTTAGAGAGGCCTTAGAATATGCCTGTATTTTCCCCATCTTCTCTCAAGCTGAGGAATTACATCATCCAAAGCCTAGTCTACATTTCAAAAGCATCAGAGTAATAGGTAAAAGGAAACCATGAAAATGATATTTTAAAAAGGTTTGCTATACGGTGAAAAAAAAAGATTTCAGTGTAGATTAAAACTGAATTCCACACACTAATGAAAGTATTCAAGTAGGGTATCCATTTTTACACGAAAGTCCCCCAATTCCTGATTGTTTCTTTTATTTTTGAAAGAATCAAACTAAGCAGCCTCCAGACTTCACTTTTTCTCTAACATACCGGCAGACCCTCACTTCCTTTCCTCACCTAGAGTACCCTCCTCATCTAGGTTGACCCAACTCAGTGCACCTCTCAGGGCGATCATGCCACTTCCTGGCGGGATGCCACGTCTTACTAAGGCTGTCTCACACTCAACTAGTGCCAAAGCCTTAACCTTAATCTTCATGGTTCACCTGGCCAGTTTTCCAGAATGTACCCTTGCACATTGCCTGCCTTCTCCTCTATACAAAAGCAAAGCCCCACCCTCTTCATAGTTCTTTATCTAAATGTTTCATAGCCACAGGACATTGTAGGCTTAAAATTACAGCTGTTGTTATAATGAACCTTACTGCCTAGCTAATGCTTTAATAGCATAAAACATTAAAAGACTTGAAAATATTTAAAAGTTACTAATTTTTCATATCCAGGCTTGCCTGGTTTCCTAGTTCACCAGCTTTAGGCTTTGAAATCTTGGGAATATAGGCCCAGGCCCAGGGAGATGTTGTTTGTTCTCTCTTGGTGTGTGTGTGTGTGTGTGTGTGTGTGTGCGCGCGCGCGCGCGCGCGCGCGCGCGTGTGTGCTCAGGCCAAACCCCAAACCCATGGACACGCTAGACAACAATGCAACTATTAAATTCCACCTCAAATTTTAAAACTATTTAAAGAGTCCACTTCTCAATAGAAGATAAGGGATTTTTAAAAATCGCTTCTTCTTTTTTTAATCATAAAAATTCCAAGCCACATTCATTTCTTCAGAAAGCAAAAACAGAGAGTCAGTCTGAGGCTGAGAAGGACTTTCTTTTTCAAAGGGGTTTAAGGTGGATCCTCAATTATGTCATGTGGAGAAGAATGTCTTCGTTCTAGATGGCGAACAGAAGAACCGTTGTCAGCAGAACGGACAGAATGGGCCTGGAAAATGTTCAGCTATTTTGAAAATAAATGTCAGGACGTCAGCTCCCCATGTCTCTGGCCTCGGGCTATCATTACTTGGCCATATCACACCAGTGAGAGCTGGCCCTATATGTTAACCCCATCAGATGAGTAAACAAAGAGGGCCAGAGATCCTGCAAATCAACTTTTATTGCTTTCGTGTAACACGTATGAAGAAGTCACTTGGTTTTCTTCCTATGTATTACTTTTGCAGGCTCACAATTTATTATTGATTCATATCCTCACAAACAACAGCAACAGCATACACGAGTAGCCCTATTAGCTCTCAGTCAGTAACTCTGGGCAATTAAATATGATAGAGGCAAATGGGAATGTGGGTTTGATGGACAGGTGAGGCTAGCTAGTATTCATAAAACCTTTATAATGGAAACGCTGGTATTAGTGACATTTGAAATTTATCCCTTATGTTCTGCCTTTTTTTTTGATAATACTAGTGCGGTTGTAATTATTTCCAGGTAGTGGCAACGATCAAGAACAAATAAGATTAAATTTAGTTGCATTTTTGTCGCATGCTCTGCAGCAACAGGGCAAAAGACAAGACACCCCATAATAAGATGGCTGTATGATTTCCACTTCAAAACTCTTGTTGTTACATGTTACTTAAAACAGATCGCCTTCTTAAAGCTTCCTACAAGGCTTTATTTATGAGGGAGTTTGGAATGTATACATCCAGAGGGAAGAGAAGTAGATGAGGGGTCCATGTATTTCTGATACGTTACTTAGGCAGCTGAATCAACTCCACCTTCAAGTTGATGGCATCAACATCTCATATAATACAGGAAAAATGGAAACACTTGAAAGTCAATCACAAGCTAATAGGTTGACCTAAGATGTTGACACTAGATGTCATACACCTAATATAAGATATCTGAAAGTACCAGTATATGTAAAAATATAAAGTATTCTTATGCTCATAATAAATACATGTCTTTATGTACTGTGTGTGCATACATGTGTCTGCAGTAGGAGTTATATGTGTGCATTAAAATGCTAGAAGCAGAGATGTACAAAATAGAATCGTGGTTTGTCATTGTGCTATGGGATTTTGGATAACTATTAGTTTCTTTTTAATGTACATTTTTAAAATTATTAAGTAAATGCATTACCAATATTATTTCCCTAACAGGAGAATCAAATAAGTATATTTAAGTAAGATTTGTGGAGCAAAGATTTAAGCATATTTTATTGTGTAATACATGACTTTGCATCACTTAAAGTATAACATAAAACTTTCTGATCCTTTGACAACAAGACTACATACATGTGATTGATCAATAAAATTATTTTCATTTTATTTTTTAGTCTGATTGCTTACTGAGTATAGAAATGAGCTAGCACCTTGGAAGCCTAAGTCCCATAGATCTGTCCTAATCTTGGAAGCATTAATTCAAGGTTGAATGAGCTTTCAATTTTCTTTTTAATCGAACCTGTTATTCAGAAACCAGGAGAGATGTTTGCCTCTGACTTGTCCCTCCTTCCTCTTTCAAATGTGAAGCCCACACATACCAGAAATGCAGAAACACAAAGCTAGTTAACCAAACACAGAGAAGAAAAGAGTCAGTGTTTGCTTGCAGGCACACACACACACACACACACACACACACATTCACACACACGCACAATAAAGGTTGTCAAATCTCTTAAGAAATAGTTTAACATTTGGAGATATTTTGCTCTCACTTTTAAAAGTCTTGTAGCCATATACATACTCAAAAATGGAAATTAAGAGAAAGCAATTTCCAGAATAAACCACAAATGAAATCAGAACAGTGTTTATATTTAACAACAATGCTTAGAAATAATCACTGCATCATATGTGTTAATCGGCATCATTTCATCATCATAACAAGCCCAAGGTCATTTTCATGGTTGTTTTAAGGCTGTTCTCCTACAGCACAGAAGTGCCCACAACCTCATAGTGTAATGTTTTCAGTCTCTTGCAATCCTGCACTTATCCCGTAAAAAGGGGGTTATAGTAAATGTGATTAGTTATGCATACAGTTGTGAGCTTCTTTAGTCATGTCTCTTCAGTGAAACCACAAGGAACTCAGTGCTAAAGTCTGGTCTCCCATTTGCTTACTGTTGCCTCCAGCATCCAGCTCAGTGACTGGCACAGAGAGAGCATGCCAAAGTTACTTTAAAATGGGTGATGGTAGCCAACGACTCAGTGGCATCTGATTCACGTTGGACCTTCTATTTTAAAGAGGATTTAAATATTGCTTTTAAACAGTATTTTAAATATCACTTTTAATAGTGTTATCTACTAGTGTTTGAGGAGGTTTAAAGAGTTATTCTGGAGAACTACGCTCTTAGCAAAATGCCTACATCAAAATACTTAATATTGTCCATTGTGGCATGTGAGAAATGCTACATGATCCAGAAAACAATCAGACCATGGTTAAGTGTTTGTTCAGTGACCTGTTTGGGTGACTTGGGGAAGGTTATCTTAATTACTTTGAGATTGTATACAAGCATCTTTTAAGTTTAAAAAATGCATGTAAACTTAGCTAGCCATGGTTAGAGCTATAAATATTAAGTGAGACATATAAGGTACCTGAGATGCAGAAGAAAGTCTTTACATAATTGGTCACTTCAAGTAGAGACCAAATGAGCTTGGTTGCCTACCTCATACAAGCTTCCATAACTTACAAACAGAGACCATCATCTTAAATTGAAAAGTCCATGAAATTAATGCTATTTATGTGTTGCACAAGATCATGGATCACCTGTACCAAAACAATAAATTGACTACTAGAAGAGTAGTTGTCAATTTGTGACATAGTATCATTACTATATACATAAAACACCGTCTCCGTGGGAGGAAAACAATGGAAGGTATAAAGAAGCTACAGACAGTGGAAAAACCATTAATCCGGATAAGCACAATCTAGCAAAGGAACAGAATCTATGTGTTAATTTATGAGAACGTCGACAATTTGTCATTCCAATCAAATGACCAAGATCTTGAAATCACCTACAAACAAAGTAACTGTGTATCTGCCAGTCTTTATGATAAAGTACTACCAGGGCTTTGAGTTGGCTGGGTAAAAATATGATTTATTCAACCACAACTCTGGTGACATGTCCAATTGTTCTATCTTTAATTAGTAAAGACTTGCACTTCACAGATATAAACTGAAGTTAATTAGGGTCTCAACATTAAAAATACAGATCCATATAACACAGAAGAAACCTATAGGCATCAGGGAATCACCAAATTTATGTTTGGGGGAATCCTTTGTTTTATTCCTAGATAATAAGAACAGCTAAACAAGCAAGATGTACATAACCACAGATATTTACAACTTCTTTTCCCACAAAGCTAGTAAAAATAATATCAAATAGTTCTGCTAACATGTAAAGTTCACACTCGGTCATTAACATAAACACAGATCTCTTATTGATTTAATTTATGGGGAGGGAAAGGAGGAAAAGTCTGTTCACATAGATGGTTAGAGTGAGGCTCACCCTCTGTGCCCACGATGCCACTGGAGAAAAGCCTTTGGAAACAGCTAAAAGAGAACTGCTCCCAGCACTGACCTCCGTCTCTAGTAGGTAAGAAGTTAGTCGCTTAGGCAGTATGCTGTGTAGCTTTCCCCTTTCTGTTCTGAAATAAATTGCCACGTCAAGAAGACCTATGCTCTAGTGGTCAGCTCAGTAGAAAAATACTGAAGCATTCCAGGAATGGGGCAACTTTCTTCTCTAATGAAATAGGAAAATAAGCACGTAGTGGAGTAATGTTTTGCATCTCTATAGAGCCACTTCCATCCTTCTATGAAGGATGAAGCAACATACTCCAAGAGCAAAATTGATTCTATGGTGTTTTGTCTCAAAACACCTGGATGAGAAAGAAAGAAAGAAAGAAAGAAAGAGAGAGAGAGAGAGAGAGAGAGAGAGAGAGAGAGAGAAAGAAAGAAAGAAAGAAAGAAAGAAAGAAAGAAAGAAAGAAAGAAAGAAAGAAAAATTGGCAAGTTAAGGAAATAGGTCTGGCTATAACTTCAGTTGACTTAAATCCCTGTTCAACTCGGGATGCTCTCTACAATGAGATGCTCACTTTGTCTCCCTTACGTCCTTTCTGCTTTCTTAATAGATCCTATTCTTCCTTCCATGAGTATTTTGGTCTCCTCAAACTACTATTGCAAGACCCTTTCTCATTTTACTCTTTCATCCCTGGCTGCCACACTCCGCATGCCCAGCATGCAATTTTAACTGAATGCAGAGACCAATTAGCTATGTAGTGCCAGAAGATAAAATGACAGACAGCAAATTTAAGATATTTGTGGATTGTTGCACACGCTCAGAGAACCTGGAAATCCTGTGTTCCGTAGCACAGAATGGGTGTTCTGTGAGCTGAGCAGAAAGGGGCTTAGGTTTTACAGGCAGGAAGAGACTGAGAAGAGCAATACGGAGCTCAGTGGCGGAGCATTGCCCTGGCACACACAACATACCTCCCACCTCGCAAAAAAACACTCTCAGTACAAACCAATAGACTCCCACATTTAATGGGAGGAACTACCTTCATTTGTGCTTTTAATGCTATGAAATATCTCCCATGAGCTCATGTTTAGCAGTTGGCCTTAAGCTAGAGGTACTATTTTTGAAGACTGTATGCTTTTAGCACATAGTGCCTGGTTGGTGAGCACAGGTCCTAGGGTTGGATACTAAGAGTTAAAGTCTGGTCCTATTTCTAGTTCTACTGATGCTTTTTTAAAAATCAGCCAAAGTGTGATCAATGCTACAAGCTACCTCAGACACAATAGCATTCTCTCCCCCCACCAAGAGCTGTTGTTTTTTTTTTCTTTCTTTCTTTTTTTTTTTTGAATACAATCCTCATTTTAATCAAGGGAGGATGTATTCTGGCTCATGATTTTAAAGAATATAATCCCATTTAAAATTTTAATGTATCTAAATATATGATTATTTGCACAATTACATATGTGTGTGCACAGACATACCCATAGCAAAGTCCTAAACACAACAATTTAGGCTGGCATAAAAGAGCAAAGTAGGGAGGCAAATTCACAAAGTTGATGTTAAGGAAAATGGGGAATGATGGTTTTTCTACTCTTGCATCTTTAACCACAACCCAAGACCATAATCGTCGAGAACATGAGTCCTACACCTGGGTTGTTCTCTGTACCCACAAGGCTCTCCTGATCTCAATGTGCAATCCCTGACCCGGGGCGGGGAAAGTACAAGACTGTACTTCCCTGACCCACCTCTATGACATTTTTTTTAAACATGCCCCTACCCAGTTCAAATCTAAGTGATATTTTATGTTGTCACTTCCTCAACTGAGGACTGCTTTCCTACAGCTACAAAGGGAGCTTTGGCATTTCTTTCTGGAATTCTGAGGAGAGATGTTAATTATTTACTAGGCTAAGAAGTAGTTTACTAAGATAACCTGTTTAATATTTTACCCTAATCTGACCCTTTTTTTTAATTAACCACTCCGAAAGAGGCCCAAGTCTTCATTGGCACCCATTGTTTCTGCTTAATCTTGTTTGTTTTTTCTTATCTTAACTCCTCCTGGGAACACATCTTGAAAGGGGAAAATAAACAAATAAAAGTTTATCGTGTTAAAGTTCTTAGCTTCGTGCAATCCAGTATTTGCAGTGCTGTTCCTTTGAGTCTATGATCTCTGTCAGGATTTTTGCCTGGGCTCTGCAAAACTCTGAGACCTTGGAGGAAAAGGCTGTGTCTTACTCCACCGGCTCTGCTATGCTGATGCCACTTCCGAAGCAGCTGTGGGTAGCTTCCCTCAAAAAAAAGGAGGCACAAACAAATAAATCTTAAGACTACAAGAAATGAACATAAAGAAACATAAATGATCACAAATGGGTAAAAACCTAAGTGTGGATGCATAGTCTAAACATGTTATGCTAAGTGTGTTAAAACTAATGCTGATGGCTGAGTCTGTGGGTGATAAATAATATTAAAGTAAAATGAAAGTATTGTTTCAATAAAATAGATACTTGGACATGACAGTTCTTATTTAAAAAGAGCTTAACTATGTCTACTTCATTTAGCAAAGTTTCAACTACTTTACTATTTTTCTGCCTAAACATTTAATTTAGAAAGCCCTCACTGGCCGGGAACACATCCCTGCTGGATGTTTCTTTCAGCATTTTATACTGAACTTACAAAGAAATGTCATATTTTAGATGGTTAAAAGGTTATGGTAAACATATTAATGAGCACATTGTTCATGAGGAAAACTAACATTGGACTGTAAATTACTGTGTCAGTTCAATTTTCAGTACTGCTTGAGAGGAAAGACTCGTTGTCGTTTGCATGTTTCAACAGCTTCAATCCAAAGTTACTTGGGTCTCTATGCTTCTGGCCCCAGGCAGAAGCAGAGCATCACGGTAGCAGCAGTATACCAGAGGCTACACTACCAGACAGGAGACAGGAAAGGAAGAGCTGACCCGGGAATAGTCATAACATTCACAATTACCCTTTCCACCCACCCCTAACTCACTACCACTAAACTAGGCCCCACCCCTAAATGCTTCGAGAATATCCCCAAATAGTGCCATCAGCAGCAGCTGGGGTCTAAGCCCCAACATATGAGCATGTTGGAATCATTTCATCTTTAAACCACAACAACCAGAGAGACTCGACTCTATTCCTTTTGAGCAGCTTACTATAGGGTATCCAGACCCAACATCCTAGAACAAACAAGGCGGATATTTTAAATTACAGGATTTCACTACTGAGATCAGGCTGGCCCTAAAATAGCTGAGGTGCTTTTTGCTCTTGTATGTCAAACATATAGTTTGATAGATGCTGGGCAAGGCAAGTATGGTGAAAATGGCATCAACCATATATAAATGGAAAGTATTTAAAACATATATATATGTTGGTGATAAGAAGATAAGAGGCTATTATATCTATGTTTTATAAGAAGAATCTGAGGCTTATAGAGTGTAATAAATTCCTTCATAGGCTTTTGTCTGATAAATACTGTCATAGTACTAGAAGACAAGTCTTTGAAAAGACATACAGTGCTCTGCTTGACCCAATACTGCGTGACCAACTCCTATAAGGATTGAACTTATGACCTTGGCCTAATGAATACCACATTTCTAGTAAATAAGGAATTTGAGACAAGTGGATATTAATCCTAAAATGTCTAAAACATAGCCAGTTAATACCTTATGTAAGTTTTATAATAAGTGCAGCATTTCTGGGCCGAGGATGTTTTCTCTGAATTGGTATTTTCTTCATATCTTCGTTGTATTTTTCACTGTATTTTCTAATTTCTGTTGTCATGTTGTTGTTGCTGTTGTTATTAATTGTTTTCTTGACACCAGCTCATTATAAGTGTGACCTCTGTGTATTTTTTGAAGCTCACTCTATCATTCTGTGACCTCCTCCACAGGCACAAGGGACAGGAATGTTTTCCTTTTTCCATTGTTCAGCTCTGATGGAGGCTCAAGAAAGAGTCAATTGTAGGTAACTATAAGCTACTGAGTTTTTGAAAAAGAAGTCTAGGGACAAAAATCTAAAAGTATGTTTTTTAACCACAGTATAATGAATCTATGTAAAATTAGCCATGCTTAGAAACGGAATATTTAGAATAAACCCATATCCCTTGAATGCTCAAGAAAATCATCCCATTTCCAGTTTTCTTCCTGACAGGAAAAATCTGTCAGCAGATTCACTAACAGTCAAAACCATAGATCTGTAAGCTAGAAAAAGATAGAATATTAAAAACAGCCATTGCTTTCTTGCTTTTGTGTTTGAGAATTTTAACCTCAGTTTGCTAATGGAAGTGTTTTGAAGGAACATGAATGCATAGAGTAGTATGTACAGAGAATGCCACCTTCCCAGAATAAGTGGGTTGGGGAAAGTTTCCTCCCAATGTAGGACGAAGAGTAAAGGGAAAGACAGCAGAGAAAGCTATTGATTTGGGACTAAGAAATTGTATTCTCACTGATCTCAACAGTAAGATGAACTATACTTAGATCATTACAGCCTGGGAGTCCACAAAATCAAGTGTTTGTCATGGTCAGCCAGTTCAGTTCTTGCTGACGCGTGTAACGGAGCTTTCCAGCCAAGGCTGAGTTTTGGTCCTTAGCCGTGCTGTGTCTCTTGCAGATCTCGGGGGGTGAGCCACACATTTGCAAGGCAGGTGGAGCAGAGGGCAGTGAGCCCCCATTCCAACACTTGTGGGGAGCTCGGGGACACTTTCTCCTTTTGTGGATGTTCAGTTCTCTTTATTTCAAAGAGTAAGTCTTCTTTAAGCTACCAAAATGATCATTTTTCATGCAAGGGTGACAAAGAGAAGGCACTAAGCATTCTTGTCACCATTTAGCTTCAAGACCAAGAAGAAAACAATCAAAGAATAGAAGGCCTTCCTCCAGTAAATGCTTTTAATGTGATCATCTCCTCCAAGTACAGATCCTATCATTAATCAAAATGCAAAAGAAGTAGACCATTGACAGGAAAACAGAAGGCACTGAAATTGGGGAAAAGTCTAGATATATCGAGATAAGGCAGCTTCATAACAGGGTTTGCAAAGCTGCGGAAATAATTAATAAGCCTCGACCGCAATGGAAGTTTTATTCTCTAGTGAATAATGAAGTAGAATAATTATGCACAGAGAAAATTCATTAAAGGAAAACATTCCTAGTACAAGGTGGAAGGATGACTGCGGACACGTAAGCAAACGTGGCAGGCAATAGCTCAAGTCTTTGGCTACAATGGAAAAAAGGAGACTGACAAAAACAAGCTAGCCAAAAACAAGCAGAATGTAAAAGGCATTTAAACTAAGACAGTTCTTAAGATTATTTTTTTAGTTGATAGCTAAGCTGAAAATCTGCCTTTATAGAAAAATGGTACAGTAGGCATCAAAATTCATTTAAAAATCGACTTTTAAAAATAAATGTAAAGACTGGGCAGAAAACGCTGGAGTAGCTGCTGGCCAGGGTTCAATTTGTCAGCTGCTCCAGCTACCAGTGAGAACCTCCCACCCATTCGCCTGCCCCCCATCCCATTTACTTCGCAGGCAACTTCTGCAAAGAGGTATGATTGAAGAGACTATGTATTCATTGAATTTTGTGTTGAGGACAGTAAAGATGTTAATGCAAATTTTGAAATATCCAAACTTACTTTCAATTGTCTTGGAGGAAGTGATGATTTTAAGCATTTAAATGAAATTGATCTCTTTCACTCTATTGATCCAAATGATTCCAAGCGTAAAAGAATAAACAGATCAATTTTCTGTTGTTTGTGGAAAGGAGAATCTGGCCAATCGTGTTCTAGGTTAACAAAGGAGAGGGCAAAGCTTAATTGACTTAGTGTGGACTTCAACGATTGGAGAGACCAAGAGGGGGATTCAGACGAAGACGGGTTCAATTTTGACCGTTTCTCTGAGGTAATGGATCACATGGGTGGTAATGAGGATGTAGATTTACCAGAATTAGATGGAACAGATGATAATTCACAAGACAGTGATGCTGAAAAATTGCCAGATCCGGAGTAAAGAATGTCATCGCCCGGGTTTGGAGAAAGAAAAGTAACTTCTGCAAGATTTCATAATTGCGACAATTCCTGAGTTGACAGCTGTAAAGGCAGATGCCATGTTTGCCTCCTGTAATCCATCTTTCAACCTGGTTTCTTCTTTTTTTTTTTTTTTAATGTTTTTAAAGGCTTCACAGGGGCTGATAATGTACCATTGTCTGAGGCAGTTTTAGTCAGCTAAGGCAAAATCCTTATGCATGAACATTTCCCAGGATTCCATGAGGTGGTTGAGATCTTAGGAAAGCTCTGATAAAAAAAAAATTTTTTTTCACCTAAGTCTTCTTTCTTCATATCTTCATAACACAGCCACGAGTGTGTTAGGAAGCTCTCAGCTTAGGGGAAGGTACCTAGTTTAGGTCCCATACCATGGACTTGAAGGAGGCTGAAACAAATTGGCTGATACCAAGGCTTAAACGGATACCCTGCCATTCTTCCAGTGTCCTTGCCAGAATTACTCCACTAACATTTATTTTTTAAAAAAAATAAATATACTTTACATTGTATGTGATCACTTGCCAGTGTTCAGGTATATTTTAGCAAAGACTAATGAAGGCCTTAACTTAGATGGTTTTTGAAGCCTATGCATTTGGTATTGTTTGGCTTTTAAGCTCTTAACATCTCTTAGTATGGAGGATGAAGAAAGTTGAATATTGTTGCTTGAGAGTCTGTACATTCTAGACCAGTTGTATTTGCACTGCCAGTATGCAAATGAGTGGAAAATGTTAATACACTATTGGATATTTTTATTTCCTGCTTTGATTTCAGCTTATGCCCTGGCTAGAAAACCTCAATTTATGTTAATGACAGTGGGTACTTGTTTTTTTTTTTAAATGTCTACATTCTCTCTAATCAACTGTTGGAAGATTAAAAAACGAAATAAATGTAAAAATAGATATAAGTGAAACAGCATTATAAGATTTTTAACAGATCATTATCAGCTCATAAGAAGCAAATAAAAGATAAAAAGAGAAAGATCAAACATAATAAAGAAAGTAAAATTGAATGTATTTTGAGTACCTTATCATTTTACTACCAAAAGACACATTTGCATTTTAAGTGGCAATAGGAAAATCAAAATCACTGGTCAAATACCCAGTAGTAAATACTTATATAGTCTATAAAATAAAACCGTTGTATGTTTGATTGTTTTTAAAATGAAATTGCTTAGAAATTAAAACTCAAATATTTTTGTAAGCCACAAACTGCGTAGTATAAATAAAAAAGTCATACATTAGAACTAGGGAATACAATAAGTTCTAGTTATATTAAACTGGGGATATTAAAACCATTTCTAGCTTCACAATGTAGGTATTTTATTAGTAAGATGAATGAAAATACTATTTACAAATAATTGACATATATGTATACATATATAAGATATAGATATTTTAAAATCAAGAAAATCAATGAAGATAGGATCCAATTTTCAGAATTTAGAAGAGGACAAAGGCCTGAGGAAGCAAGTGGAAGAGAATAACTTCAGATAAAAGTAAAATTTAAATTCAGAAAAGAAAGGTATTTTTTGAAAAATCACAGTTGATCTTAAAACACACATATATACACGCACACACACAGTAAAGTTGATTGAACTCTTTTTTTTTTTTTTTTTTTTTTTGATTTTCGAGACAGGGTTTCTCTGTAGCTTTTGGTTCCTGTCCTGGAACTAGCTCTTGTAGGCCAGGGATTGAACTCTTAAGAACCTAATGGAATCCAACAGCAAATTCAACACTTGGAAAGGAACTTTGCAAACAATCCAAAAAATAATGTAAAGTGTATGAGAATTTGCCTCATAAAAAAGATACTTTCTATGTATATGTTCCATGCTGATATGTTATAAAACCCAGTGCAGTTTCAGGATAAAGCAACTATCTAGTTCCCTGAAATAGTAGAAGCCATCCATTTCCACAAAAGTTACAGAGGTGAACCTCAGTGCTCAGTGAAACAAAACAAACTTGCTCCCAGTTTCTGAGCAAAAGATTGACATTGTTTGTGTTTATCTGTTTGTTTGAAAGCAGGTCTCACGTATCACAGGCTGAAGGTTTAATGTCAATCCTCCATCACCCAAGTACTGGGATTGCAGGCACGCCCATCACACGTGTGTCTCTTTCAAAGCCACATTCTTTCCATCAGTTTGCATAATCCTAAACCGTGAATCATCAACCTCCAGGTTGGAGTCATGTCCTAACAGTAATTCTGCAGTTACCCTCCCTAGAGTCACCCTCCTTTGTGTTCTATAACCATGTTCATCTCTGTAGCCTAAATTCTTGGTCTTAGCCAAAAGGTCAAGAAGAGATTCTTTAGCCTCAGTTCTTTGTGACAGTCAAACCATGGCTCAAAGTAGTTATGTTTGCTTTAAACTGGATTAAGAGAAGAACCTGCTCAATTATTTAAAAGAGCCACCTAAGGACGCATGCTCCCCTTTCTTTCTGTGTCTTCTCTTTAGGGTGATTAGTGTTGAAGGGCAAGAGGCAGATGCTTGAACAGGCTCTAGGCATGGACAGACAGGCACATGCTTCAAGGTTCTCTCTGCTGGTGGACATGGCTCAGATTGTTCAACTTTTCCATAGGTTATACAAGGTAGGAAATCGCCACCATCATCGCTCATCTCTGACCACCTCCTGCTTCTCCTTTGCTGAAGAATCCCCCCGCTGTGTGTCTCTGGGACCATTCGGGGACATGCCAACTCTGCTGAGGAATTCTTTTGTTCCACTCATGGGGTTGCTTCTTTAAATATGGATGAGGAGACATGAGGGTCAACCTCTAGTCCTCATTCTCATTCAGTCTGCCTCGTCTTCTCAATGGGTGCTTTTCCATGTTAAATGAACATCTAAGAAGTTCCTCCTTTCTACCCCTAAGAGTGCTACATGAGAGACTAGACTCTTGTCTTCTGGAGTTACCTAACTGTTCTCCCTCAAAAAGAATAGCGAATAGGTAAATCTCAGGAATCCAGTACATTGAAAACTAGTATCTACATGTTAAAAATCTCCTTTATTGACATGTACTCAACTATATTCATAGCAACATTGTTTGTCATAGCCAGAACCTGGAAACAACCTATTGCCCCTCGACTGAAGAATAGATAAGGAAAATGTGGTACATTTCCACAATGGAGTACTACACAGCAGAAAAAAATAACGAGATCTTGAATTTTGCAGGCAAATAGATGGAACTAGAAGACATCATTTTGAGTGAAGTAACCCAAACCCATAAAGACAATTATCACATGTTCTCACTCATAAGTGGTTTTTAAACATAAAGCAAAGAAAACCAGCCCACAAATCACAATCGCTGAGAACTTAGACAACAGTGAGAACCGTAAGAGAGACACACATAGATCTAATCTACGTGGGAAATAGAAAAAGATAAGATCTCCTGAGTAATTTGTGAGCAGGGGGACCTTGAGAGAGGGTTGAAGGGGAGGGGAGAGAAAGGGAGGGGAGCAGAGAAAAACGCAGAGCACAATAAAAATCAGTTTTAAAATCTCCTTTATCTAGCTCTCTGAATAGTATCTACCTTCTCCAATAACTCTGATACATCATGTTTCCTGAGATAGGGATGAGGCTAACTTCAAAAGCCTCAGAAAATGCTGAAATGTGCAACCACTTAGTGTTTAGATAAAATAATGGACTCTTACAGGAATCCAAGCCTTTAACCTTTACTTTAAAAACAAGCCCATTATCTAATTTAAATGTTTCTCTCTTTTACATTAAGAGTAGGAATTCTGATTCTGGATGATAGTGGTTGTGGGAGAGAATGATGAAGATCCACATCCAGGTAATTTACAAAGTTTTGTGCTTGATGATTGGAACAGTATGCTTGACATCTCAACTAGCTACTTTTACACACAGTTCAAAAGAAGACTTGCCCAGTTAGTCAGTTCCCTTTGAGTTTTAAAGGCATACAGGCAAGTCTGCGTTGTAGCTGATTTTGTCCTGTTCTGCTGATATTCAATTGCCACAAAATCTAGCCTTTACAAAAAGCCCCGAGAAGCTTGAGGTCATCCTACATTCCTCCTTTTCTCTCAGCCCTTTTAACTGCCATTTGCCAAATATTTTAAGTTCTACACTTGCATAACTTTGGCTTCTGTCCTCAGTCTTCCCCTCTTGTGGTGGATGATTTAGTTTGGTAGTTTTTCTGTATTTGCTACAATGGCTTGATAATTACTCCTTTTTCTGCCTTCTCTCTCCACAACTTTCCAGCATCTTCTAATATTAACTGGACCCCCTGAAGATTCTTGAATAGCTTCCAGAGGCTTTCAGAACAAAGCTCCAAACAGAGCTAGAGTAACCTAGACATCCTGCTCCTGCTTCAATTTTCCCTGTTGTATCCTTCTCGTTCCTGGGAGCTATACTTCTAAACCTTGATCACATATGTCCCTCTTCCTAGGATGCTCTTCTCAACCAAAATTCTTACTTATCCTTCAGCTTGAAGTTCAAATGGCATTCTTTCTCAGGAACTATTTTCTCCCCACCTCTAACTCTATACCCTTGAGACAGATGCTGCTTGTCAATGGGCTCTCATAGGTCCCGGAAGATGCTAGCGCTATGAGGACACCATACTGAAATTGTTTGTTTATCCTTTGGGAGCAAATTCCCTAGGTTAGTGAGTGTGCCCGTATTATCACCATGAGTTCAGAACTTAGCACAGTGTTAAGTAGGTACAGCAACAATTCAAAGAACAAGCCTTAACTGAGAGTTTTAATAATTACAGTTACTTATTGTCTGGGAAATCACAAAGACACATAACTGTTTCAATTTTCATCTATAAAGTTAATATCATGTATGATAAAAGTTGATATCATATTACCTAAGATCTGTAAATGAGTTAAATCTTATTACCCAATAGATTTCTTTGCTCAAAATGTTGTTGGCCAGATTTATTTTTCTATAGCTTCTGAGTTTTACCATATGTCAGGAATTATCATTGGTTGTATTGTTCATAATTAATAATCTTTAATAATCGCACCAAGTTTCATGGACCCACCTCATATTTAAGTGAAATAATGATTATAACATCATTAGCAGAACATGGATGGCTAATTC